TGAAATGTATTTGGATTTTTTTTGAATCGATCGAAAAATAAGTTGTGTAAAAATGTGATCGCAAATTGTGAACAATTTTTTTAAAAAATCGTTCTTTTCATTTTCTCTTCACGAGTGAGAATTCCAAAACTGTGAACTGTTCTTGTATGTGATGTGAATGATCAAGATCTCAATAGTCCACCACAAATTTGTATCACGAAAACAAAGATCATCGAAACGAGATTTTTTTTTTTTTTAAATCAAAATCGTAAATCAAAAAGTGTTGAAAAAGGATCGGTGGAAAATAAAATCCGAAAAACCGAAAGAAAAGAAGAGCTTTGTGTGAATGAGATTATTTGTTTGTTCAACCGAGAAAAGCGCATAAATTCAAAGTGTTAAGCCTAGTGCATCAAACCCAAGAGGGTAGCGTAAGCACCCCGGATCATAAAGTTTTACCAAATCTTGGTGACAGTATGGTTTATCAATCATTCGAGTTAGGTGCCGGTTGTGGTGGTGTCGATTATTTACAACCACACATAGGTGACTACATACCATCAACTGCTAATTTATACACAGATCTCGATACATCAGTTTATAGCCAAGGTAAAAAAATTCATTGAGTTTTGTGGCCAAAGTGCCGAATTCTTCAAATGGAATATACCATTTTTTTCATATTTTTAAAAATTTCAATTCGACTAGAACCATGCCGTGTTTGAGTGGGTATATGTTTCATTAACTTTTATGTAGTTCATTATAATTCGAATGCCATTACACGTTGAAATACTAGAATATATAAAAAAAATGAATGTTCAAAAACACCATCAAATGTAGAATCTTTCGACGAAAATAAAAACCAAACATATAAACCAATCGAAAGACCAAAAACAGATCTCAAGACAATTAATGCAATTGGAAATATGATTTTCAAGGATATGATCATAGTTTTCATGTTGAATTTTGTGCAATATTTCGGCAATTCAAAAACCATATGAAGCATGTACATATTCACTTTTCATATGTCAATGTCATCGGATGTTAGGCAATAATCGAATTAACTTTCGATAGGATTTAGTGAAACAAAACGCAGTGTTGCAAACCATCAACAATAATATGCCTAAGCAGCAACAACAACACGAAAAAAAACCCATAAACATAATATAATAATAATTTCTAGATGTGCATACGGTACACATATTTTATATACACACATTTTATTCAGAGGAAAATGAAACTGCTTTTGCGTGGTGGAGCGCGCACAACGGTCTCTCTCTCTGTGTATGTATGTATGTGCGCAAATGCGCTCAATTCAAACGCATTAAATCGTTCTGATTTGTAGTGAAGCTTTCACGGTTTACTGCCCTTTCTGGTTCGAGGATTTTAAGCATTTGTGCGCTCATCGAGTTAGACGAATTTATGATTTTTGGCTTTGAAATTTTTAAGTCCATAGAATTTAATTGGATATCAACGATCGGTCCAACGAAAAAATGAACATGAAAATGTTAGTTAATTCAAATAATATAACACTTGAATAGAGTGAACACGAAAAAAAACCCACCAACAACAACAATGCCAAACATCTTCATGGGCGCAACATAAACAAAAAAAAAACACCAAATAAAACAATTAATTATTTTGCTGTTACAAAGTGAAACGAAGTTTTATTAATGTTAATTCAGATTTTGGAAGTGATTTCAAGGCGGTTAGAAGTCATTGATTTTTGTTCATTATTCATGTAAAACGAAATGCTTGCATTTGCTGTAACAGCAGCGACATTGAGCCAAAGCAATCGTTCATTTAAACAGAGTCCGTCTAATGATTATTGCCATTGTTATGTGTGTGTATATATATCTGATACTATTCAAAACTCCCAGATAATAATGGACGATGTAAGATTCTTGCATCGACAAACGACATATCGTCATTACTCTTGAACATTTTTTTTGTGTATGTCGTTTTGTTTGGTTTAAATTAACCAAAATGATAGTGATTTTGTATGTATTTGGAAATGCATAACCGATGGATCAGTTGTATTCAAGTTATTGACAAAATTATACCCAATTACCACCAGCATTGTGGGTCGTTTAGTATTCTTGCGGAATGTGCATTGCACATTAGTTGAGTCATAAATGCGTTGAACACATTGTACATAGACACGATGGACTTTAGTACAGTTTCATACATTCGGTCAATTTAGCCGAGGCGAACTTTATGCCATTCGCGATACATAAATGCGATTAATGAATGCACACGCACTATGTGTGTGCAAAACAACTACCACGACCGCCGCCACTGCCACCAAAAAAAAAATGAAAAAAGATTGCCTGGCGAGAATTTATCGATACGTGAAATTTTCGCTTTCATTTTGACCTATAAATGCGAAGGAAATTATGAATTAAACATGTCAGCATGTGTAACTTTCTAACTGCCAATGCAATTCTGACCTATTTTATATAATTTTAATTTTAATTTTATGCAGCATTTATGCGTGTTATTTCATTCCGGTCTGTTCCATGGAGAAATCCATAACATAAAAGGAAGTAAGAGGATTGATGAATAATTTCTTCTTGTTTTTTTTTGGTTGTAAAAAGAGAAGAAACGAAAACCGCTGAATTTTAGGTGTAATCAAACACACGCTTATTTTGGTTTTATGGCATTATTTGCGTTCTTCTTCTTTTTTTGTGTGCATAGAATACGACCACAAGATGTTCGGTCGAAAGGAGGGCTGCATATATGCACATTCAATATACTACGCATACACGGCGGCCACATCGAGAAAATTATGTAACGCATACTTTGATGATTTTATGTCAATAATAAATTATCATATTTTAACATTTCACATGACGAGAGAAAAAAAAACACACACAACATTTTAATTCCAAATTAATGTGCGAGCGTGTGAGTGCAATCAATACGCAACGGTTCCACTGTGTGTATGTTACATGTACGCAGAATTTATGTATATAAATATATTGCGCAGCTTGCAATACATCACATTCGCAAGCTGATGAAATGAAAATAACTGCGTATCACACTATCATTTAATTCAATTAATATTTATCATAACAAAATTATCATGAATTTCGCATAAATTACGTATATGTGTATGTGTGGTTGTGACTTTTAATTTACATTTAATAATTTTTAACGGTTCAGCACGCGGGATGATATCTAAGCGTTTTTTCGTTTTCCAAGAAGAAAACCAAAACAAAAACCTTGAACGGAAATCATATCTTCCGAATTTCGAGATTCGAAATAACACTTGTAAATACACCAAAGGAGAGAAGGAGAGAAGGAGAGAAGGAAAGACGGAGACAGAGTTTGACAACAACAAAAAAAAATAAGAGAAAAAAACCTGCGACAAACGCATACATCCATATGCTAACTATTTACTTTAACCGGCATGTTCATTCAAATGTTTGTTGGTTCAATGTGATAAGAGTGTGTGTTCGGATATTATACTGGCTTGTTCTTTGTTTTACAATCTGTGCAGATTCATAACAAACACAACTATCTACTTCCTAAGCGATTGTCGAATAAATAATCCGACATATATTTTAGGTAACAACGCACATATGCGTGCGTGTGTGTACTTGGGCAAGTTCTTGATTGATAATAATTTTGGACGTCCAAGCTATAAAAAGAAATCTATTTCAGTGAACATATATTTGTTTTTAATCAGAAACCATGTAGTTTACTTCAGCATAAAAATCCTTGTATAGTACGTGCTTGCATCAATATTCGTTACAACCGAAAGAATTGCGATAAATGAAACAAATGACCGCAAACAATACGGATTTCGACCGATAAAATACTCTTTGAATGTGACGAGTTTGAAATCAAGCAACAACAAAAAACGTTTTTTTAATTCTTTTTATCTAAAACATTGGTTTAGCAAATGTGCCTGTTTTTTTCTCTCTTGTGTGTTTTTTTATTCTTTCGTGAATGAAAAGAATGTTTTGAAATATGCCTTGGAAACTGCTTAACCAATTTCCGGGAAATGTCGAATTCGTTGCATATCATCAGAATTTTTGTAGCTACACATTTTTTTCTCTCTCTCTCTCGCCTCAGACAATTGTTCTTACATCGTTTTTGGGGGGACAATTTTTTTTCTTCGATGATAGTTAATAACATTTGTTTTTGTTGGTGGCAGCAATTTAGTCGTAGTAAACAAAACAAAAACGTCTATCATATCAAATACATATGATTCTATTGTGTGAATTAACGCAAACGATCGAAATTATTCTGAAAAAAAAACATTTTTTATCGAAATTATTCATCATTCGTTTTTTTTGTTATTCAATGTCGATTTTCAGTTCATTCGAGAACGAGTGGCCGTTTACCACAAGTATTTCATAAAACAGAAGTATCTCATCTTAAATCGTGCTGCTCGCTTTTTATTTTTCATTCCCAATGAAAGCGCACAAATTTTTTAACGTTATTTAATTGGTGTGTACATTTACACACATACCAAAATTCAGTCGTACTCATTGGCTTCGATTCGATTCATTCACTTCACACTTGATTCGGTAGGAAAATCAGTTTCAACGATGGGGCGTGGCCTAATAACAATGAGATTTTGGGTTGAAGTTATCAACACTATTACACAGTATTATTCAATCGCTTAAAATCATTTCACCGCTATTTGAACTGATGTTCAGCTCATGAACCGATTTTTTGTTTGTTTGTAGCTTTTTGGTAGTCTAAAGACGATTTCGATGAATATTACGAATGATTTAAATCAATTCATTTTGGTACACATTACACACGCAAACATGATTGTTGACGAGATAAATTCTTTTTTTTTTCGAAAACAATAACAATGATTACCTTTAAAACGGTATATAATTATCGTTGGGAAGAATTAACTTTTTTGCTCAATATCTGAATCCAATAATTGATATGAATGGTTTTTTTGCGTCGAGCTACAAATAAAAATTCACAAAATTGATCTATTTCAATCTGAAGAAAATTAGGTTTTTTAATCATTTTTTTGTCTATTTTTTTTTTGATGAATTTAGGATTTAATGCACCTCATGATCGCAATGAAAACTCCTCACCATCGTCAGCAATGTTGGCACACCCGCAACAACATCAACAGCCTGTTAGTCAAAATTCAATGTCATATAATGTTCAAGCGCACAAGAATATATCGAGTTCATCAACGTCCACTGGAGCATATAGTATACAAAATATGAAAGAAGAACCGAGCGCAGGTGCAAACAACTATCCAAATGCTGTGAATGGAAATGGTTCAGATGATATGGCAGTAAGTGTTTACCAAATATTAAATTTTGTTTTGTTTACCAAATGATGCTTAATTTTTTTTTTTTCATTTTCGCAGAGTTTTGGTTTGTTTACTCATCCCGGTCCGTATGAGGAGCCAGAGTATCATTCATTGTCACAAGATGCACAAAATCAACCACCGTATTTAGAAAATAGTCCAGAATTTTATGCTGGTATGCTCGAACAGAAATACAATCAACCATATCATAAAAACCCATTCAATTCACGAGGTAAGTGATTCATTCGTTTTTTTTCTCGCGTTGTTATTGCATCTTATGAATATCAATTAATTTGTGTGTGTGTGTGTGTATCCGTTTGTTTCATTTCTGATTTGTGTGTAGGACGTTTTCACGATAATTATCCAGATTATACAGCATACGATTCACCAACGTTCCAAACCGTACCTAGCAGCACCACATCGTCCGATCATTGGAATGTTCAACATCCACACAATGGAGACTTTCAGCATCCGTATATGGGTGCAATGGGAATTGATAAGACAATTCTTGGTGGTTATCCAACAGCCGGTGGCATTCAATGTTTTAATGGTACCGGTCCAATTCAATTGTGGCAATTTTTATTGGAGCTTCTTATGGATAAAACTTGCCAAAACTTCATTTCATGGACTGGAGAAGGATGGGAATTTAAACTCACCGATCCAGACGAAGTGAGTATATTTTTTGCTTTTATGCCTTTTGTAAAAAAAAAACGAAAAAATGTCGAGCAATTTTCAATGAAATGTTTTTTTTTTTAATTAGGTTGCACGACGATGGGGCGTTCGAAAAAATAAGCCAAAAATGAATTATGAGAAATTAAGTCGCGGTTTGCGATACTATTACGATAAAAATATTATTCATAAGACGGCTGGAAAACGATACGTGTACCGATTCGTATGTGATCTACAGAATTTAATTGGGTAAGTTGCAATTTACAAATTAATCAAAATAAACAAAATTTTTGAATGTCATTTAATAATATTCGTTGATGATTCATTGCAGGTGTTCACCCGAAGAATTGTGCGCCAAATTAGACGTGAAAACTGAGAAAAGGGATGACGAATGAAAATACTAAAAAAAACTAGCTGTTAGACATTTCTCGAAAATCCTCAACATCCCAGGATACATACTATATATATAAATAATAATTTAGGGAATGAAAATAAAATGAAAATAAAATCCATTTCAAAATAATTTTCATATGTAGATTTAAAATCCATTTGCTTCTGGTATCTTTTGCTTTAACAAAGAATAAACAAAAAAAAAACAGCAACAACCGAGAAATACTTGCAAGAAACATCTAAACATATAAGTTTGCAAACAAACTGCTCACAAATTTTCTATATATTCGATAGTTTATATTACAAAAAAATGAAGATGGTACATAATTTTTTTTTTCAAAGCCAAAAAGCACAAAAAGCGTGCTGTGAAACCAAAAGGAAGATGGCTGAAGTTAGGACTATTAAAGTTATAGATATTAATTCTATTAAAGAGAATAAAACAAAAAACAATCACACGAATCAAAGTGTGTGCGCGTGCGATTGTATGAATGAACTTGAATGAATGAATTGACAGAAAGTAAGAAAAAGATAAATAATAAACATTTTTACAATATTTACATGTAGTAAACTTGCTGTATCGTCAATTTATATTTTATTAAAATTTAAACAACAACAAAAAAAAGATGATGGATTTTGTATTGTTTTTAAACGTTTTTAATTTTGTCTGTAACATTTCGTATACACAATCATGGAGAAAGAAAAACTATATGGCAAAACAAAATGAACTAAGATTTAATTGAATAATCGAATAAAACAAACAAACAAATTTTTTTTTTTTAAATACTTCAATCTCTTGAAGATTAGCCTTTTTAAAAGCGAAAAGATGATATAAATTTCGAAAGAATTATTAGTTAAAACCGAGTACATTTTTATAAAGTTTCTTTTAAAATGAAATCGATTAGGATGTAAGAACATGAAAATATAAAAAAAATCTTTTTTGAACAAATTAAAATTGAACCATATGCGAAATCTTTTTTTTTTTTTCTAAATGCAAGTCACTGTTGCAGTGTTCAATTCACTCATTTCTTTTTTTAGAGAAAATTTCAATTCAAGCAATAATAAACGACGTTTCGTTACGACATTTAAACAGAACAAAAAAACCATCCAAAATGCACAATTTATTCTTGCTGCTGACACTTGTATACACATTTATAAATGAGTGACAAATGAGTTTGATGTAAATATAATTTTTTTTTTGGTATTGTTTGCTATTAACCAACATGCGTGAGTATCGATTGCAAGATTTCGATTTTTTTCGTATCGGAATTCGGATGATGATTCACATTGGAAGCTAATTTAACACAACCGTTTTCATTGCAACATTTGTACACACAGCTTAATCGTTAACAAGTAAACAAACAAAACTGTCTCGATGAGAAATTTGTAAATATGATGCCTTTTTTTTGTCGGTTATATGCGCATTTACAAAGAAACGTGTATTCAACGATTACGATAAGATGGCATATATATTTTTATCTACATTCACTCTCATGTAATTAATCTAATTTTTTATATAAATTCTCTTCCGGCATTCTATCCACTTTCTTTTCGTTTGAAAACGGTGAACTTTTACGGTCGCTTCGCTTTCAAAATCTACTTCATAATAAGCGGAACAGAAAACGAATCGCAAAAGAACAAAAAAGAAACGCAAATAGAAAAGCTGCTAATCCATTGTCAATGTAAATAAAAACTAATTATTATGATACAAACTGCATTCATCCCAGTATCACACACACACAGACACACACTCATAGCAGTTACAAACTGTGATTCAATATTCTGAACTGCGAAATTGTGCATCGTTTGTGGTTATTTTTGCGACAGAATAAATTTCAATTTTAGTTAATCATCATCAATTAAAATATTAGTATGAAGATGTGAATTGTTTTTTTTTTTTTTTTCAATTAGAAAAATACACAGAATATCGAACCATTGCAATCGAATCGTCGCCATAGATCGTATAGATCATGCTGAATTTCATATTGTATTTATTAATTTCGTAAACTAAGTGAAGAAGAGTTTTGATGAGTTGACATATCCCGGGCAAAGAATTTCACGATGGAAAAAGAGATGTTAATAGCTCGAGTCGTCTTTGGAGTGTGACCGAGCACATGTATGATGAAAAAAAATGTTATTTGTTCAATGTGCTCGATTCGATGGTAATTTTTCATCGAAAATTAACGAAAATTTGTTTATTAATGCTATTTGTGATTTCGTTTTAAATAAACTTATCGTTTTGCGCTATAATTTCATCAAATTTAAGACAATAATAAATATGGTTCACACAAAAAAAAAACACTTGAAAATAAAAAAGAAGAAGAAGAATAAGAAAAAATCGATATGAAACAAAAAGTAAATCATATTGGTACCTGATCCTCAGCTTTATTGAAGTTAGTTTGCCGATTTCTGGCAGTTATGCCATGCATTGAATATATAAATAATATATAGTATATGGTTGATTGAAAAACGATTATATTCCGTGTGTTGCATATTTATAGGCGATTGATTTGGCGTATTAGAGAAATATTTAGCGCTTTTTTTCGTGTTTGGTTTTGATTTTTCTTTTCTTTTGTTGTTTATACACTCATCGGCAACAAAATCATGGACATTTATTCAAAATACTTCTAGAATGGAACCGATTACTGTCATTTACGATTTGGGATTAATTTTTTTTACATCACATCAAAAAAATGATGAAAAAAATCCGCCAAGAATTGAATGATCGATGTTACTAAGAATTAAGAAAGAATATTCAAGGAAAAAAAGATTGTGATTAGACAATAAATATTGTTCTCTTTGCGTTATGTATAATTTTAAAGTAATAAAACAAAAAGATTATTTAGTGCAAACAATTCTTATTTTTTTTAAATTACTTTCAATGCTTAAATGAGTACATATATAATCTTTGGTATATTGAAGTCGCTTTTATAAAGTAACTCTTTTATAAATTGCGATTTATTTCGATGATGTGGTGGTCTCAATATCCAAAACCGTTGAATGGAGTGTATCCAAAATCGTTGAATTGTCGGTTGGGAAAACGTTGACGTTGTGGCTGTGGAAAATTACCCGGGAAAACCCATGAGTTGAACAAACGTTGCCAAAATTGTGGTGATGTGTATGCGTCGAAAATATCTTTGGCCGTTCCGAAGCGACGATCTGAATTGCTATTCACATTGCCATTGATGATGGGCTTTGCAGCGGTGACTTCATTAAAAATCGGTTGTTTCCCTCCGCATTTGTACATTCGACCAATTTTAGTGATATCATTGGCGGAGAGTCCATCCCGTTGACCCATTTGCTGCGTCTTACCGTTTCTCTATTTAATCCATACAATCAAATGGATGTGAACCATTTAGAAGAAGAATGGATGAGCGTGATACAGATGTCTGCGATACGATTTTGATGCTTAACCTTTGGATTTATAGAATCCTATTTGATTTCAGCGGAAAAAAATCATAACACATCATCTTGTGTAATGCATACACCACTCATTCTTCTGATGAATGCTTCAAAGCGCACTGAATTAATCTTGAAAAAATTTGCTTCTTTTTACCTCACCGCTTTTCCAAAGAATTTTGAAACTTTTACTTTTGTTTAGCAAAAGGCAGGGAAAGATTACTTGCTAGTACAATAAATTAACCACAACCGTTATGTTTATAATTGAATTTCTATATATTTGGCATCAGTTCAATAATTCTATTTGGCATGATATAAAATAGATGAATTAGCCTTATTAATGTAGGATGATTTATATTTGTGTGTATGGATGTGTGTGTGTTTCCTCTCTGGTTAAAAGTTTTTTTTTTTGGGCGTAATAAATAGGTTGATGAAAAGTGAATGCAATAAATAGATAGATCGTCTGTCTTCAATTAATTTGGTTGATTATGGCTTAATGAGGTAGGTTTATTTTTGCTTTGGTCAGAAAATGCATCGAATATCCCGTTTGGTCCGTGTCGTCGTTGGTTGGTGTGGCACTTGCGCGATGACTGTGTGCGAGTGTTTTATTTGCCTTGATTTAAAGCCGAGGTTAAAGCATTACTTAACAAACTGCCGAATAAATTAAGAAGTGGTCGAGATGGTGGTCTTTGTGGTACCGGTGGCATACCTGTTGTGTCAGTGGTTTCCGTTTCACCAATCAATTCGTCAATGTTGTTGTGCGAGTTCATCGGTGGTTTTTCCTCTCCATTGCCATTCGCTGGGCATTTGTACATTTTATTGATCTTTTGCACATCTTGCGCCGAGAATGCATCTCTTTGTCCCATATTATTTGAACCATATCTCTGATAGAGCCGCCCACCAAATGCACGGAATATTTGAAATGAGTTAATGAGTTTAAGTTAGTTGTTGATTGATTCAAATGAGTACATTTTTTGTGTTGTTTGGCTATGGCGAACTGATTTTGCCAAAACTAAATCTAATTCTGAATTTCTATACGATAGAATACAATTGGTTTTGATTGATTTTTTTGTGTCTATTTTTGTTTTCCATTTGTACGTGCATTGCAACGATACATTGTATTAATTTTCGTTACATCACCCTGACTAAAATTATCACGTTGTCCCATCAAATAATAAGCACCGGATCTCTAAAAAATCAATCAATTTCGGAACATGAATCATAAATTCTAAAAAAAAATCGGTTAATTTCGAACGAGAATTCAATCGATTCACAAATGCATATAAATTAGACAACAGTTCTAAACACAAATTACATTTTTCACGTTGTTAAACATATGGAACATTATGATGAAAACTTTGAATTGATGAACGAACGAAACAATTTACATGGCATCAGTACATATATTTGTACATGATTTACACAACCTGATTTTTAGTTGGGTTTACATTTAGATGCATACATATTTGATGGGACACACACAAACGGTTTTGGTGTATGAACGATGCTGCAAACGGTTGAACATTTTTTTGGACAATACATAAATAAAATGGCAAAAAATGGATTTGAAAAAGTCATGCTCTTAGTCATCGAACCAACGACAAATTGAACAATAATATTTTTGATCAAAGCGGAACTAATTTCGTGACGAGAGCAAAAAACCCGAATTTATTTTATTTTATCATGCACTTGAACCTGAGCATGAAATACATATCGCCCACACTTTTAACAAGCAAATCAAATCAAAAACGTTTTCAAACGAAAACCGAATCGAATTGGTTATGCGGTAACTTGTTATTGATCTTAGTGTGTAAACGAACGATGTAAGACTTCCTACCCAATTGTTAATATTTATGAAGAACGAATGAAAATGAGTTTCACCAAGAAGAAAAAAGCCGTAGCAGCAACAATACATACACGTGTAACATTTTGATTAAGATGTGATGATTGTTTCTGTTTTGAATTCTTGATGATTTCGACCTTGAACTACGATATGTTATGAACTAGTTTCGTTGATGTGTATACAAAACCATTTTTTGTCTCATCTCCCGCAAAGTTAAGATGAAGCAGAACCCAGAAAAAAACTAAATGAAACAAATCACTTAAAAATAAAACTAACCTTGGCTGTGATTGTTGGTTGACCGTTTCGCGAAAATGCATTTGGTGAGTAATGCATGACGCTTCCGTAATCATAATCAACGCCATAAGCGGTGGTGGTTGAGCTACTTTGTTTGTCGAAATTCGCTTGAGTTCCTTTTGATGGTCGAGTTAAATCACCACGTCAGAAACGAACAATAAACAGAGATGCATGCAAATCAAGTATTTTTTTTTGTTTTACAAAAGGTAATTAGTAATATTAATTGTGCGGAGAAGTTATTTAACAGAGAGTTCGATTACCTGCACGAACATTGGCCCAGTTAATGTATACATAGTCATCACGATCTGAACGGTTTTGTTCATGGAAAAAGCCCAAGGCGTGCATCACTTCGTGTATGATGGTGCCGACTTTTGTAACACATCCCGGTGACTGTAAATTGACTTCCTGTGGGAATAAACATTATTACGTTTATAGAAAAAAAATGCGTTTTTTTTTTTCAAATGAAATGATGCTAATATCCATAATGATAATTATTTTATGTAGAACAATAATAATGGCTATTGAATCCGGAATGCTAACTTGTCTGCCGCCAATTCGTCCAACGCTTGACCAGCAACCAGTTGCTTGGCTTGTAAATGAAATATAGTCACGTTCATATGTTCTTGGCTTGAAACGAATGCATGTTCGTTTATGATACTCATTTATGGCACGCTCAATAAGATCCATTGCATTTGCATCTAATTACAAAAATGAAAATTATTACAAACTGACTGATGCCATCAATCATTCAACAATGTAATATGGAATGAAATTGATTTTTTTGTTACCAAAATATCCTTCAATATCGAATGGTACAATGCCGCCTGGCCAATGTGATGCTGATGCAATCAAACCATTTCGTCCGAAATTTGGTGGCATCAACATGTCACCTTCCAAGTATTCGCCCAATTCTTCTGGATTCAGTTGGCTGGTAGTTGGATCAAATTCGGCAACCAATTGACCGGTTCGATTGCTTGGTATGCCATAGAGTTTTTCACCATACTGACTCAGATCAATTACTTCACCATCATCTTCCAATGAATTATCTTCAGCTGATGGATATGGTGCCGCACCAATGACAGCAATAATGCAAGCGAAAACAATGAATTTTCTCATGATTCGAATTTTAACACGTTTAACTGAGTTTTTTTGAATGGTAGACTAAAGAATTGGAACGCGCCAAAGAAATTCGGTTTCGGAAGAAGGAACTGTTGTGTGGAAGTTCAATTTTCGACTGAATAACACCAGGAGTTGTCCGCTTTTTATATATTTTAATTCCATCTGTTGCATGAATGTTTACCATAGGCAAAACGTGGTTTGTACTAGGGAAAGAGTTGCGCACGCGGTACACAACCACATATCATCAATACGCCCATTGTGCCGTTGTGTGTTGTATATGCTTCAATGTGTATTATCATTGGGCATACACACAATTAAATTTATTTCTTATTATTATTTTTTGTTCTTTTTAATTCCTTCCGTTCTTCCTTGACATTCGTTTATTTACCTACTTTCATTCATTCATTAATTAATCCATTTTTTATTGCTCGTTTAAATATATATATTCAATTTGTGTGTAGTTTTGCATCAGGTTGCCGGGTTGCTCTTCAACTCGGCAATTATTCTTCGCCTTTTTTTCGGTAATGAAATTAATGTCGTGACCGATAACAATATTTCAAAAAATAATTTATCACACACACACAGTGTATCAGCTCCATTCAGTGGAACACCGTTTTTGACTCTTCTTGGCAATAAAACCGAAACAATCATATCAACAACTAAACACCTTAATACCCGCGTATCAAATGTGATAAATGAATGACTTAAGGTGTTATGATAATTATGAATTTTATGCTTTCTTATTCACTTATTTCCGTAACTTTTGTGGGTTCTAATACGAAATTAAGTAACAGCCAATTAAATGATATTTATCATGGCATAACACATCAAATCTCCGTGATGTAGGTCGTTCACAGCCGTACGGTGTTTACGCTGTGATTTATTGGAGTACTAGTTTTTGTCTATTATCATTGCGTTAGAAATGACGTCGGTGTTGAAAACAATAGAAAAATTAGACACTTTATTTGTATCATAAAAATGGGGTGATGGAACTGTATCATTGAACAGGAAATGGAAAAGATTTATGTTGTTTTTTTTTTTTTTTTCATAGAAGACTTTGGCCATTTTATATTTTCGATCGTCTTCCTCATAAAAAATTCTGAACATCCATCTAGTGATGATACTTGGGTTTTATTATTGACCTACGATGATTCATATAAGTGCATTCGCTCATCGAATGCAATTGGGTCATATTTGCACCCATTTGAACTTGAAAAAATCTAAAAAAATCAAACTATATCGATTTCATGACCAACCAAAAACAATAATTTTTTACGGCTCTTACGAAGGCGCCAATTGTATGTCTTATGACACAGTTTTGTTTGTTTGTCAATTTTTTTTTCTGTTGCTCTCGTGGCCAGAGTGAGAGATTCATACAGAGTTTTTCTCAACCTGTATTGTTTTTTCACAGATCAACGCATCAACCGGAGGTTGTTTGCGCGCACAGCGCACAAGGAGTATTAACCTCACGGCACATTAATAACTAGGTAAAAACGCAATGACAAAACTTTACAACCAGTTGTATAACCGTTTCGTGAATGAACGACAAAAAATAATAAACAATATGAGTATAAATATTCTCCCATAAGTGTCAACATGCTAAAAGTGATTCCAAGAAGAAAGACAAGAAACGAAAATGCTAAATAAATGAAAGTCAAGGTCCTCACATACACATTTTTTTTCACTTCTTCTCTCGTCTCCTTCTTTGTCTGTTTGTTCAAGCGAACACATGATGCAGTCGAGAGATGTGATCTTGCGCATACCGTACGATACAATACGTATGTGATGTATCATTCATTTTTCCACATTTATATCAATTTATTTATAGTACAAAGATTTCAATGAACCCAGCACGTATTAAATCCTTTGGCTTAGATTACAAAAGCGCCAAAAAAAAACACTGATAACCAAATGGATTTTATTTTTCTCAACAGTCATTGTACGGAATGAATGTCGATAGGAAAAGATCGCGGAGAAGCTTTTGGTTTGAGCTTTGTTTAGAACTTGATGTTTTTCTTTTTATCTCAGCCGTACATGAAGTCATACACTCGAATTCGGAATCGACGTTTAAGAGCAGCAGATAATTCATCGTCATAAAGTGTTTCGCAAATCAAAACATTAAAAAGTTTTATGAATAGAGCGAGATTGTTTCGAGGACATGATTTTATTTTTTTCAAGATATTTAGAAACAATATTTTTGTTTTCAAAACTATGGTTCAACATGTCAAAAAATATCCGGATAGTAAAATGTATAGGTAAACAGGAAAATATCAAGCTCTATGATAGCGGGATTGAAAGGAACTGAGAAAAGTTCCGCTTTTTTGGTATTGATTTGTACGTGGAAATTGAAAACAAGAAATAAACTCCGCTTTTGGGAATATATGCCGTTTAACCAGTGATTATTTAAGACTAAAAAAATGCGAACAATATTTGATTTTATTTATTTTTCTCAGCAGTCATTGTTCAAAATGAATGTCAATACGAAAACATACACATCGCTTAGTAGCATTTGGTTTGAGCTTTGAATAGAATTTGACAGATAAATCAAATGCACACTTGATGACCGCACAAACTGAATTAATAAATTACACTTTTTATGAGTTGCAATCAAGATGATCCGACTACTTTAATTTAGATGTTCTATTTTATTTCATTTTCGCTTATGACTCGTTATTTGCACGCTTATTTCAACATTTGTCTACATGCAAAGTGAAAAATATCGTCAGACAAATGAGCGCCCAAATTAGTAACAAAAAAAATGAGAAGTTGAAGTTGTATTTTAAAACAATTCAGACGCGCTGCATAATAGCAAAATGAAGTGCTTTTGCTTGTTGCTTTAATCTGTATTTGTTTGGAACATGTTAGTTAAGAACAACAACAACAACAGCGACAAAAAGAACCAAATTTGGAAGAGCAAATACGAAAACTACAAGCAGACGTGAAACAGCAATGGCAATATTTAAAAGAGGTTCGATTATTATAATTAAACTTAAAATGTTTAGATCAATTTTTTATTATATTTGGTCAATAAATCAGATGTATATCAAGTCAGAACGATCATTCAAAGAGCTATATTTGTCCAGCAGAGGAACAAATTGCACGTACAGAATGAAGAGAATAGATGATGTGCTGAAAGAACACGACGAGAAGATGCCCAAACATTTTAAAGAAATAAGTGTACAAGTAGTAAAAGATTATAGAGATCATTTTATTTATTAGTAAAGTAAGTGATTTTACAATCGAAATTGAAATATTTTAGTATTAGCGCATGTAATTAAATCATTTCAGTAGATTAGGAGAATGGAATGCTACAGATGTTGTTCTGAATGTAATTATGTGGAACAAAAACAAAAAGATGTTGCAAATAAAAAGAGCCAATTGCAGTATGATTTTTTCGTGATGATTATAATGAATCTATTGAACTATTTGCAATGGATATATCTAATAAGCTGACACCAGACATGGTTTCTCGAATAATCAGTTTTCACCGAATAATATATGGGAACCGAACACAGATCAAAACTGCTTTGGTAAGTTGTTTAGTCAGCGAAAAGTTGTGGTAAGAAGTATACCGTGTAAATATTTTATAAAACGCATCTGTATTTACATCAAGGGTATGGCATGCTATGTAAAATGTTGGCGAACAAAAACCTCACAAATTTGTCGGAATAAACCTTATAATTCTATGAACAAAATTACACAAATATGAAATAGTCAATACAAAATTTGTAATTCAGATTCTATCCGATAGATGGCGTTACGGTTTGGCACGTCGCCATGTCTCTCATATACGTGCCATTCCTTTGATTTACATTTTCAGTCTTATATGTATGGTTCTGTATTTGATGGGATATCATGATGATTCATACGAAGTTGTTTTTTTGTTTGTTTTCCCCGTGTCAATTCTGTTAAAATTTTCCCCAGTGTCAATTCTGCATCGGATATTCTCTTTATCAGGCTTTTCAACACTGAAATTTAACTTTTTTTGCATTGCAAATAATGCCATCATGTTAAATATCATTTCATTACTGGGATTGTCATTGGATATCACTTCAATTCTCTCAAAACGATGTAGTATATAGAGCAATTTGAAAATAGTCGTCCAAAAGATCTCTCAAATTACAATTCATATCGGTCATGACATTCAAGATACGGCAGTGTGCTATCACAGTGGCTATTGGAGCTATAGTCAACATCAATTGGGCCGTGGCAGCTGAGAAGTTTCGGTAGTGTAAATTTCGAGACGAAAATTGTAAAACAATTGCGTGTAAGTCTCTGTGAGCAAATTCCAACTGTGAACACATCACACCCGGATAGGCCCGTCCTCACTTCCCATCGTTTTTCAAATTTCTCAACTATTCTGCCTATTTAATCTTTGTTTTCATACTCTTCTTGCAACGTGTCAAATATTTTTGGCAGTATGATACCTGCATATGCCTCGTAGCCATCTATAGAAGACAAAATTGCGGATGGCAGCTTTACACCGGAATCAATCAAAGGATCTGCTGCATAATCACTTGTTCATTCTAACGCGTTTGCTACTTCAATTTCAAATTTTTCATGCAAATAAATAAAATCAAGAACCGCACAATGTACGTCTTGGTACGAAATCGTTGAATTAGTTTGCTGCTGTGCATTCGTTGAACAATTGATGATGAGAGTCAATACTGTAGTAATTTGAATATTAACATTTTTTAAGTTTTTTTTTCTCGAACTAATGAGAAATGTCGAACAATTGTTAAGTAAGAATCAGAATAACTATTTTATAAGTTTTACGGTTCTTTTATACTATTTCATATTACATATGAAAATTGGCGTTTAAAGTTGTCCGCTTGTCATTACATAATACTCTAAAAAATAAGTTTCCCGATGCATGGATCAAACATGTTGAAATGCATATATTTTGCAAAGCAATTTTATAATGTTGTGAAATTCAAGATGTTGTGATTCTACATTGGATCAGTGAGGAATTACTAACGGTGATTCATTTTGCTATTATTTGTTATTAATTGTGGAATTAACTTAAGATAACAAGTCGTTTACATTTATTTCACTTTCATGGCTTAAGTTTCATTATCATTGACCACTTGTCATTGTAAAACGATAAAACAAAATCGAAGTAATGTGGCAAACGACGTAAATGACTCAATCTCAAGTATATTTTGATTCATTTTATAGGTTTTACCTTGTCAATAAAATAAAACTCTTAAATGGACGGTTGAAAATTGACACGTAATTATTTTTTTATATTATCAACTCAATAAGATCTATCACATTGACTTGGAAACAATAGAAAGAAATACGGTTTTTTTGCCGAACATTTATGCCAATTTTATTAATAATTTTATGCATTGAACCATTTTTATAATTTAGTTTTATTAAAAGTTACAACTTAATATGATAAATGAGCCAAAACATCTATTGGTCTTTTACACAGGGTATAATGGTGTTAAAACAATTTTAAGTTGGACGATTTCAATGTCCTATGAATTTTAAACGGAATAAACCTGATGGTGCTGATAATGCTGATGGTTCAGTTTTTGGTTTGAAAGAAGGTACTGCTGCGCCTGAATTTTCAGAAGTTGGTTCGGGCGATGATTCTGTATTTGGTGTGTTTGTGCTTTGGCCTGGTTGTGTTGTTGGTTGTGGCTAAAGAAGAGTCTATAATAAATGTATAAACTTCCTAGATAATATAACTTCGATATACAAACCTGATGATTTGCATTGCACGTGTCCAATTCATCCTGTAGGGTTGATTTTTGTGACGATAGCACAATGGTCGAAATCACAAAAGCAAATAGACAAAGGCTCAAAATAGTAATGACCTTATTGTCTAATACGAGTCCTGAAATAAATGGTATTTAAGCACAAAAAATGACAACAATTCACCAAAAAATACTTACGTAAACATTGCGATGCTGTCGAATTCATTTTTTTTGAATTTATTTTTTTACTGAAAGTTAAAAACCGGAGTTTGCTGAGCAATATCTAAAATTGAACTGTTTCAAATTATCATTTGGCGAATAGCATTTCAATTCAATATCGATGAAATAAGCAACAATAAAAAGTCAGACAAAAGATAAGATTGAATTGATAGCCGTTCGATCTATTTATGTGTTAAGTATTTTTCAACATGCCACCAGGGCACAATGTATTCATTGCAAACAAAAATTGATTTGGAATATACACAAATCAGGTTTTACTCGGCCAAACATAATAATCGATTGCTTTTTTCACGATAAATAGAACTAAGCGCGAACTTAGTGGCATTGAAAAACACCTGTGTGACGCCATCCATATTGAATTAAATTTATCAATCCAAATAACCTAAAATGCGCAACCATTTTCTTTTATCAAATTCACTCCAGATAACAAAATCAATTCCATACTCTTATCATCGCAAAGCGCGCGACGAAAAAAAGAACACCTCAATTTCACGGCAGCTTGAAACTTGTTTTGTGCTCATGAAAATCGTACATTAATTATGCCCATTCCAGTATTCTACGCATAATATTACTCATTTCATTCAAAACTGTTTCGGCCTAGTGGCCATGAAATGGATTCGGTTTAAACCAACAACAACAACAAAAAAGTGAGCATCAACATATTTAATTGGAAAACTTTATTGTCTGCAAAAATTAGAAAAACATTACATAAAATAAAACTTGAACATAAATTTATATTAATTATATTTGGTTTATGGTTATTTTCAAAGAATCCAGCTCGGTTCATTCAAATTGAAATTATATTTTTATTTTGACTGTACAAAATTGCGCATTCTCATATTTTTGTCAATTCCGAAATTTTTATATATGATTTTTTTTCGTTCATTTTTTTTTTGCACTTTCAATTCATTTTACTATTCTAAGCCATAATTGTTGCCGTTAAATACCTAACAAAAATCTTAATATGAAATCTTTCGCATCTCACAATAGTTAACATTCCGATATGTTTTTTTTTTCAAAAGTTCTTCGCGCAGCCAGATTCTTTAAATTAAAAGAGAAAATAAATTACATTTTTATTCGTACGTATATATCATGTTATTATGTAAAGCTCCATCTCATTGTTTTTCTATTTCTCTACATCGTTTATTCTCCGAAACTATGTCCTATAAAACTGTTGTGTATGTTTTTTTTGGTTGAAAATGTGCACCAATTCCTGTTTGAATTTTATACAAAAGAGAGAAACACATGCCAAAACTTAAAATGAAAATCAATTTTTCGATCGAATCGAGTTTAAACAATGCTAATTAATTAATCCATGTGGCTGGTTTTCCTTCGACTCTATATCCAGTTAGATGGGCTTCGGAACGACGATTTGGGACGTCTGGATAAAATTGTGGACCGGCCTCATAGCCATATGGCTTCACGTGATTCTTAAATGCGGATAAAAGTAGAAGGAATATGGCTATTTTTCCAACAACAATCGATTTGATCAACAGCAATTTAAGCGTTGACACCAAAAATGGAACAACAGCCGATTGAATCAAAAATGGTAGAATGAACAAAGGCAAAATTTTCGTAATCAAATCTTGTTTACGGCCCCGACCTTTTTGAAAAACAGAAAAAAAACACCAAAGATAAAAAGAAATGCAAAAACAGACAATACAAATAAGTGTGAAAAAAAAGTAAAAAATCATAAATTGTGCGACATTCTATTGAGCGATAATAAAATGAAATGACACACGTTTTACACACCTGTGAATACATCTTTGAGACAATCTTCGTCCAAATAAACGCTGACCAATTCTTTGTCTTTTTCCACGCCAATATTGACGCCGGGACCAACATTGTATTTAATTTCGTCGTTAAATTCATTGGTTAGTTTTCGTTTGGCTTTGATCAGCGTTGTTTGTTCGGTTGATGCAATTGAATCGACTTGTTTATTGGTTGCGGTTGGATATCGACGATTCAAACGATTGCCCACATAAGAGCTTCGATAATTGTGCTGTACACCGCCAACAATAGCATTATGAATATTTTTCGCATGATCAACCTTTGATGGTACAACCGTTGGATTGGACTTTGTGTTTCCACTATTTGTCACACTCATCGAATCCTTGACAATTGGCTGCTGAACAATCGAATCGTTTACATGATCATTGCTCGTATTGCTCTCCGTTGTTGTACACTCAATAAAATGTGCAATATTTATTGTAAAACATAACAGCAATGCCACTTTTTTATTCAAAATTAACTGCATTGTTACGATTACTGTGCGTGTATCGGTGTCCTTTCAATGGATTTTCTTTTTGTTTCGTTCTGAAAGCGATCACAAGACGAATGAATACTTCCGGCAGAATGATTTTTTTTTTTAATTTTATTTGTATATCCTCGCCGGCCACTTTTGAATCACACTCTTGATGACACCCACGTTTTCAAAGAAAACTGAAGAAAAAATAAATACCGAAAAAATCACAATTATGTATAAATCGTCAAATGCAACACGAATATTGAAATATTGTGTATTGTTGGCGCGCAATTAACTCGTTCAATCGAATATGTGTTTTCTCTATGATATCTATGCGCGAAATGATGAAAATAATTTATTTATCGCACAATATATTAACTCGCTCGCCACTTTGTTCGTTTGGTTCTTTGGATCGATCATTTCCCCGTGTACCGTGTGTGAGCTATGCCGCATGCAGATTCTTTGGCAATGAGTGCGCACATCGGAGCATCAGCATAAAAAAAAATTTCTCTGGTTGTTCCAATTCAAACTAGTCTCGATGCGTTTTGTATGTGTTGTTTTTTCATCATCTTCTTCTTCTGCATTAGGCAGGGTTTTCAATGCTCAACAATGCATATAAACACGTTTTGCGCGATGCGCTCTTAACGAAATTACCAATCGATGCCATGGAATTTCAGTTATCGGGTAACGTTCTTCGAATTTGGACCAAACATCTCTGCATTCTTCGTTTCTTTTCTTTTCAAATGACAATCCAACGATCGATGTGATGTCAACGATTATATAGAGTAGAAAAAGTATACAATAGCAACAAGGAAAAGAAGAAAAAAAAAACATTATCACAATGCAAAATGTAGTGTAAGCACAACCCTGTATCTTGTTGTTGTTAGATATATTTGTAATTCTACGCTCATTCCAGTCTGCACGCAATGATTTCTGAGCAATGCTTTCTGGTCTCATGCTAATGCGAACAAACTGCAGATTATTAGCTAATGGCTTGTTTGCACGTGAATACAAAAAAAGTAATGGCAAGAAAAAAAATGGTAGCATATGTTATTCACCGCGCATGTTGTTGTTTTTTTTTATTTTCATTTTTGTTTTGTTCGTTTCTTGCTGCTTCTTCGGGTTTGCTAGTTATAATTGATGCTCAGAATTTATCGATGTGTTTGGCTTTTGTTCTAATCGACTTTCATCGAAGATATGTTCTTACGGATCGGTCAGTGTACGTGCATTTTCTTCAATTCTTGATGTGAGCTCATCATCACTGGCATGAGCCAATGCATGCAATTGTATCCATTGCATTTTGTAACGGATATTTGCATTAGTTTCAACGTAAGCGTTTAAGCTGTGACTACACTTTGTTGTTGTTGTCTTTGATTTCTTCATCGCCTCTGATTTGCTTTGGAGGAAGACGAATTGTCCATTTACGTAGAAAATAGAACTAACGTAAACAGAAATTGATTTTAATGGTGTGAAATCAGTGTATGTTCATCTGTACGCATGATGTACACACACACACACACACAGATCATTCAATAGAATTTAGTAAAATGGGTTACTGTGTAATGTTCGTAATAATAAGCTTCATTTCGCACAACAAAAACAGTCCCCGTCCAAGTGGTTCTAATTGTGTCAACCAGCGACAATCGAAGTAGGCATTTTGCAGCCGTGGGCTGAGTTTTGCACACCACACGCGTCCATATTATGTATCACAATTTAAGTCGTTTTTTTGTTTTCATTCACGGATCATGAAAATAAATTCAATAAATGTTTGGTTTCTTCTCTTTATTTGGAATATTCAATAAATAAAGTTTTCAATAAATTACAGGGTGTTTTGAAATAAATTAGACTTAAGTGCGACAATAAATTAATTAAAACAAGTTATTTGCATTGGTTCCATTCATGTTAAAACCTCGCCGAAGGGATACATGGAGCACATACACACACACACACACATCTACCACTGTTTGTCGAACCAGATTGGTTCTTGTCTTTGGTATACAAGTGGAATTGCTGAATTGTATTGCGGCAATGGCACAGGCGCTGCTTGGAATGTACGTGCCAAAATTTGACCAATTGCAATGATCAACAGAATGACCTGTATTATTGAAAGATATTGAATTATTACTCATTTTATTTGATTGCACTAATAAATCGATAAATACTCTGAAAAAATACACATGGTCAAAAATCAAAGTAATCGGGATAAAGTGCCAATTTTATTAGAATAGAACACATTCCGGATTACTTTTATTTTTGCCGGTACATAAAATGAAGGGCAGAGAGCAAAACCAGCACGTCGCATCCCATTTCCTTCTCTTGCCTACAGAAATTCCCGAAAGTGAGAGATCGTGCTGATTTTGCACTCAGCCGCTCAAATATACGTTAGAAAAAATTGTGTTTTTTTAAAAGTAAAACACGCTTTTCATCCTTTTTATCAGTCGAAACTGAAGAAAGATCTAAAGACCTTAGCAAAAATGTGAGACCCAATCTTTAACTCGGACTTTGCTCAATTTACACACTTTTTGTGCGAACAAAACTTCACACCACTTTACTTGGCACAAGACTTGGCGGCTCTTTTGCACAACAGAAATGAATTAAAAATCAAAACTGCTTACCCCAACACCCAAACCTTTGATGGAAACAATGGTTAAAGCGGCCAAAAGAGTTATTATCACACCAACAACGAATGCAGTTGGAATTATGGCGAACGTCAAACGTTTCAACAGATGATGTCCAAAAGTACGAGCTGCTTGAATGAAAAAGATGTAAAAATGTAAAAAATGTGAATATTCATTTTTGAATTAAAATGCAAGCGGCTTCAAAATCAACTGCTCTATTAGTAGTAACCAAAGCCAATTTAAAATGGAGCTCAGTTTACCAACGTTTATGATTGAATGCGTTCGATTTCAATGTCTTTGGTTTTAACTCTACACCGTGGTTATTCTCGACCACAAAAACTTATTTAAAAGAAAAAGAAAAACGACAATAAATCAAAATGAGCCACTATAATATAGCTCAGTTCTCGAAAAATCAGGGAAAGTACAACACACTTGAAGTGGCATTTTATTTGGCACAGATCGGCGCTAAATATTCTCTAAATATTTTGCATAAATAAACACGTAATAAAATGCATTCAGTTAGAACGATTCACTTGTGATCAATTACATTCTTTAAATGGTTTTAATTGTTTTGGTTTTTCATGTTGTGCTCCGTATTTGTTCCGCGGTTGGTTTTTTTTTTTTTCTATGTATCTTTGTTGTTTTTTTTTACATGGATGTGCAACAATAAATAATTTGTAAATTTACCGGTCGAATTAGCACTTTAAAATAAAAATAAACAAACCTTCTGACAAATCTGACGTGCTATTATTCACTTCATTTTGACATGCTGCCATACTAATAACACAGCATAAAACGGCAGCAACCAAAATGATTTTATCCATTGAGTTCACCATGATTTCGATAATTTTTTGTTTTTTGCGCTTTAAATGTCGATCACTGTCGAAAAACTATTGTGTGGACACTTAGTTCACCGTTCGATGGAATAAATTGAAATGTTGCTGATCGAATGCGTGGGCACCGTTTTTATTAAAGACCAGCACCACTCAAAAATATCGAGACAGCCCAACAACAAAATGCAAATTCCAAATATGATTTGGAAATGGTTTGATTCACATTTCAATTAAATCACGACATCGCATATGCAAACGCAAATTAGACCAACTATGACGCGAAACACAAAGACACAATAGGTAAACAATTTTGGTATGCACGAGTCCATATTTAAAATAAAAAAAGAGATTCATGCGACGCAATGTGTCGCATACATGATGAATTTCTTTCATTGGTTTCAAAGTGTACAGGTGAAAAAGAAAAGAAAAAAAAGAACCACAATCGAACGTCAATAATTCGATACCATCGAAAACAGTTCAACACTTTCTTTGGTGACTACTCATGGCATTTTCAAATGGTTGAGAGAGGCAAAAAAGTAACAACGTCAATCGTTTAACCGAATTAATCGTTGATTAATGCAGAGCAAATATGCTTTAAAGCGCCAACATATGAAGCATATCCAAATAAATTTGACGCCAAATTTCCGTACAATTGTGTACATTAACGCGTGCCATACTGCTTCTTTCTCCGAAAACAAAATAAGAAATCAGGCACCGAAGACAATTCGAAACACACACACACACACATCGAAATGAAATAACAAGAAAAAAAACGTTCAAGAATTTCGGCATTTTGGCGACCGAAAATGTGCTTACTGAAAATGTTGTATAAACTGTTGAATAAACGTGACACAATTAACATATAAATTGATTGAAATTCATTGAAAATGATTAAGCATAGAACAAATTGGTCAGTGTGGTCGCTTTCGATTTTCGTACCGTCGAATGAGTTTCATATCTCGACTTATTTTGACGTATTTTTTTGTTTTATCGTAAGCAATATTCAATAAGCAGCCACATGTTAAATCGATAAAAAGATATTATTACTTTTTCCACATGCGATTCGATCGAGTCACATAATCAATCACAGAATATCAAAATTGAGAGAGAAATTGAAATCGATCGTTGATTGATTCAGAAATGGAAACCGCTGACCATTTTATGCGGTTGGAATTTTGGATTTCGATCGTTTTATTATATTGACAATGTGCTATATGATTTTCCGCTGTGCTCGTTGCCATTTATCGTCGGCTGCGGTTTTCCTGACGATTAACACAAACACCATCCCGGAGTGGTAGAATCATAATTATAAGATAAACTGGGCCATAGTCATATTACAAAGTAGAGCATTCTTAGTATCACGTATCTAAATCACATTACAAACAGAATTGAATTCATTGATGTCTGACCGCTTCCGCGCAGTGCAAATGCTGTAAAAGTGATTTGCTTAGTTTCAGCAAAAAAAAAAACGAAAAAAAAGCAGAAGAAACAACGACAATATAAAAAAATATATACATATATAAAAACTATAATTCATAGTTATTAAGCAAAAGAACAGTTATCGATACGAATTAACAATAATTGAAGAGCGCACACAATTTGCTTCAATCTCCTCATTTTCATACATCTACATGTGTTATCAAAGCAAACGTATGTTTGCGCATTCGGCTCGCACATGACCATGAATATTATGAACTTGCATATCTCATCATCATCATCATCGCTGCATTGAATTGTTGGAATAAAAAAAATATACAGCTATATATTCGTTCAGTCAGTGGATTCTAATTTTGTGCGCGCACATACACATTTATTCATATTCAAGTGCACGAGAACAAGTTTTCTCTCGTCATTACAACGAATGTAACAAAACAATGCCGATGCGCAAAAAGAGTTGCTTCACTTTTCTTACCTACAATTCTAGAAAAACATAAATGCGTGCTGATGTGCGTGAACCACTTTTACTCTAACGAAATGAATTAAATAAATGCAATTCAGAACTATACGGCATCCTCGAAAAATTAATGCCAACTCTTTTTTTTGTTTCGGTATGTATCTATGCCAATCATTCAGGTGCAATCAAATTTATAAATTAGACGAACCAAAGTGTTTGTCACTTTCTTTCGAAGTGCACATCGCGATTCGCAGAAATAATTTCTTTTATTATAATCATCAAGTAATATTCAAACGGATGGATGGGAAAAAGAGCTAGACTAATTGAGACACTTCCATAATTTTCAATTAATCGCACACGATCAATCGACACATTTGGTGTAACATTGAACGAAAAGAACCATATCTATAATGGAATACATTTGATATATAAAATCTAGAAATGTTTATTAGAAATAATTGCGAGTTAATTGTTTTTATTTGTGCGATCGATTTGTGTAAAGAAAGAGAAATTGAGAGAGAGAGAAAAAGACAAAACGAGGACGATGCTCCCTTCGCTAATATAGCGAACAATATGAACAATATAAGCGGTGAGTTTGTGATGAGTTCCAATCTCATGAGATAAATGCACGTGTATCGATTTATTCAGTTTGAGCAACAACAACAGGGTCAATATTCAATGAAGAAAAAAAAACAACAGCTGAATATTACTTCATGCACCATTTCGTATTTTCCAAGCGTACACACTCGAACTGTGCTCGCAGTTGTTGTTGTTCTAAATGTTATTTAATGTTCATTGCAAATATGCACGAATTCAGAGCAACGATCACGATCAAACTGATTGAAATACAAATTAGAAAAACTACACTACAATGAGATAAAAGGAAATGAAATATGGACACCGCAACACCATTCGATGCGCATAAATATTTGAACTTGTTCTTATTCCATCAATTATGGTTCCGTTTCGCCTTTTTTTACATTATATCGTGTTTGAAGAAGAAAGCAAAAAAAAAAAATGATGCGCTCATCCACATGCTGAGCCGATTTATATACATCAATTATTATACGGTCCAACACTTTAACCCAATTCTGGATGGTCTAAATGCAAAAAAACACACACACACACACCGCCGATTACCTGTTTGTTGGGCGATATGCACTTTTTTTGCGTTACAAAACACGTTGTTCATCATTCTAAGCTTAATCGGTTCCAAAACAACAAACCTATGAACATGACTAACTTTGTGTAATCCTTTTTTTTTCCGTATTCAGACTGGATATATACTGAAAAACCAATTTTAATTGGCATTAAGAATTCAATATTTACGTCAGCCAGAAATAAAATTTCGAACAATTCTCTTTTTTTATTTCGTGCCAACTGTTTTTAGTGTAATATATGTGTGTGTGCATGTTTGTGCTTATTAACGGTGACGTTTTCGCACGCCAATTTTATACATATTTATACATATTCGTTATAATATACATAGAACATATGAGAATTCTCAGCATGCCGTTTTTTTCGCTTTAAATCTCTTCCATATCACGCGCAGCATTGTAACCAATTCTTCTTTGTCGTGTTTTGTATTCTCTCTCTTTGATCCAATTCCCTAAACGACTATCACACAAACGCTGGTTTACGCTTTTATTACAACTAATAATAATAATACAGTTTGTGAATTGTGCGGTTCCGTTGGAACGTGGCATGAGACTCACTTCAGGCGCACATGTTGTGTACAATGTACGTGTTAATGTAAGTGTACATGTCTCGATCTCTTGGTTACAAATACACATGCATCGTTCAGGAGTTGAACAATATTTAAAATGCAATGTTTCTTCTATGTGGTAAGCATAGATTTATTTATCCCCTTGATGCGCGCACGCCATTGCCACTCGTGATACTAAACATTCTCGTGTGTGAGAATGCATTGAAAAATAAGACAACGCATGGTGGAAAATAATGTTGTTTTTTTTTCTGGCTCACGATCTAGTATCTATTATGTATCAAAAACAGTGTCTATAGAGCATCCGTGCGCTCTCTTTGTGCGCTTATAACGTTGAAGAAAACATTGTCCGCAATGAGTTTTTTCTTTAGTTCATCATTTGCCTCACTTCGAAGATAACATATTGATCGGTGTTTACAGTCTAATGGTTTTCAGTCTGAATCAACGGCGACAACTTGAAACAACTCGAGATAAGAGACGACGAAACATACCATACACAACGCGATACACATAACATTGGTGCAACTTTGTGCATTTCATCGAAGAATATTTCTTGATTTTTTTTTTTTTTGACAAAATCAGATTCTTATTAATTCGGGTGATTGAAAGTGTGATTAAAAAAAAAGCTTGTTTTGGATCGGCGTGAAAATTTTGTTTTAAACATGAAATTGACGATCGTTGTCGTTTTTGCTTGTTTCCTCATTCTACCTATCAATTGTAGTCGCATCAATTCCAGAGTTTACGAAGAAATTCTTATGGAAAATCAAAATCATATCATTGACGTTGGTAGCGACAGTGAACTGCCACAAAATCACCAACACGACGAGCAACAGCAACAACAACGACAACCATCACGGTCACAGCATAAGAATCCAGAAATCGGAAATATGTTAGCATATGTTAAAACATCGATACCGATTCGCATATTTCAGTGTATGCAACGATTGAATATTTTAAAATGCATGAAAATATTCATTCTACAGCGCATGGAACGATCGCCAATCTATCCAAATACCGGCAATGTAACGGCCGATTTTCTCGATCAAATTCTATCAAACAGTCAGAATAATAGTGAAGACGGTGCAATCAATGAGGAAATATTGGATAAATTCTATTTGCAAATGAGCGAAGTTGAAATCAATGAACGGCTTTTAAAGAGTTTTCAGCGTTTCTTTCATGATCGTGAAATAAAATTACATTTCATTCCAGGCATGGTGGTTAAAGTCGTGCCAAACGAAGAGAATGCCATTAATTTGTCATTGAAACGAGGTAACTATTGGTTTTTTTTTTTAATTGACTGAAGGTAAAGCAAGTGTGTTTTTATTATTATTTGTTTTATTTTTATTCAAGCATCAACTTGGTTGGAACCAACGGCAAGCGGACGTGCCAAAACTCGGCCGGGTGATTATTTATTGCAATTGGGCATTCCGGCCGTTTTGATGCCAGCTATTTTGATGGGCTCAGTCTTACCGTTTATTCTACCAGCGTTGAAGTTTGCAACCATCTTTTCGGGTATGATCAATCATGCGGCACTAGTTAGCGCATTCGCATTTGCAGCCAAACACGCTTCATTCGGTCATCCCGATGCAATTAAACATCTTTATTATAATCCGGGATATCATCGACGATCATCCGATTAACGAAATAAAAAAGAACACCAAAATAGAATTTACTCATACAAACGAATTTTTGTTTTTGTTTATTCGTTATATGCAAAGAATTTAAGCATTTCGATTTAATTATTTAATTAAGAAATACATTCAAGATTGATATTTGATTGATTTAAAATAATAGAAAATGGAGAAGAAGAGGCCAACACAATTTACTTTTATGGAGTTTTTTTTTATCACACACACAATGCAATTAATTTGTGAATTGAATTTATATGATTAATTTTAATAAACTTCATTTTAAATAGTACAATTCCTGAGTGCATTTCATTTAAATGCCATTGATGATGGTAACACATTTTTTTTCCTCTTCATCCATATCGGCATCGTCCCAGCCCCAGATTAAATTTGAATCGACTTTTGTATCGGTATTTTGAATATTCGGCCATAAAATCTGTCTTAATCTCGAACCGTCGCCCGTCCGAGCCGAACGTTTTTCAATATTTTCTTTTGAAGCCGTTTTTAAATCATATGCCCAACCTAAACGCAAAATACATACATTTTTTTATATTAGAATGATCGTTTTTATAATAAATTAGAAGAATTTTTTAAAAACGGAAGAAAAATTTGATTGAAAATGAAAAAAAAAAGATATTTACCGATTTTTGCGAAGAAGTCAATAAATGCGGTGGAGAAATTCATCGAATAATTTCCCAATTCGGCCGCTTTATAGTCCCATGGGAATACATGATGGTAATTATGAAAACCTTCACCTGAATTTTCCATTCAGTAACGAAAAAAAAGAAAACTTGGTAAATAAGCGAAGTTCAAACATTCTTCACAATTTCTACATACCAAATGCAGCAACAGCAACAAATGTGTTATTCGTTGGCGGAATCGTGCTGTGAATTTAAATTACACGAGACAAAATAAATAAATAAGCGCAATCAGGTTGATAAAATGTGTGTTTATCTAAAAATAACATATTTTTATTTGGCTTCAATACAGCCGTATATACTGACCGGTCGATTGGCTTTGTGCCCCATTTGTGTGCCACGCTATTGACTACAATGCAAATTTAGAAAGAGAATTTGAAAAAAAAAAATTATTCAAATTAACACGATTGAAAAATTCATGTGGAATTTCATTTTAAATACCGAGCCATGTTGCATTCAATGTTAGTACGTAACGTAATGAGGCGGCAACAAACCATGAATTCCAGCAAGTTTCATTCAGAATGAACATTGGCAGCAGTGTTGGTATTATGAAGCAAAATATTGGCATCAAATATACATAGTATCTGTTGAAAAAAACAGTGAACATTTTACCAAATCGTTGTCCATTTTTTAGAGAGATTTTTTTTTTCGAGAATGGCTTACTTCTTCTGGAACATGACAATTGGATCTCTTTCTAAGTCACTCATGTCAATTGTGGCACCTTTTCGTTTTACATCCGGATGCTTTTTGCACAGTAACCATCCTACGTGCGAGAAAAAAAGGCCACGTCGCGCATTATGCGGATCGGCATCAGTATCGGTGAACTTGTGATGCACTCTAATCTCCCCCCGAAATAAAAATCAATGTCATAAAATACAAAATGATGATTATGATTGAATTAAATTACCTATGATCTCGTACCTAAAATTGATAAATTAGAAATAGAAAACATTCTGTAGACAATTTGATAGAAAAATATGCATTTTTAATTTTCAATTACCCATTCATAGATTGAATTTTGAAACGCAATCAAATTTGCAATGCACAATAATAGTCTCAATTTGTAATTGGCTTGATATGCACGATGTGCCCACAAACGATGAGCACCGCACGTAATTCCCATGCCACCGATTGTACCGTATGCATATGCTAAAACGAACAGAAATATTAATTCGTAATCATATATGCGATAAATGAATAATTTTCTACGATTTATTCACGTTATCACCGCAAATCATTTTTGTGAGCGCGCACACATAAAACTTACACAGAATAAATGTGAATATGCTTGCTTGACGTGTAATTAGCAGATAAGCACCATAAATGGCAAATAAATGCAAAGAACTCATGATCACCACATTTCGCCACACAATATCATCAGATTTGAATTGAAAATATGGCTTTCTCTGCATGAAACAAGACAAAAATGCTTTTTTTTTATCAATTTTGATTAAAAATATCAATCATTTGGTTGGAAACTGATTAATTTTGATTTCTGATTTTTATATGATTGACCAAAAAAAAATAAGTTGCAATTTTACATTTCGTATTTTTTTGGGCAATGATGTTCCACTAAAATCATCGCTTCTTTTTTCCTCAACAACGGCACCAGCGAGTAGAATGCTTGAATCAATACTAGGTGCCATTTTTTAAACTTCCTTCGTTTTCCGAAAAATAAAATCTATTTTAAACTGATGAAATATTCCTCAAGTCACATAAAACACTTGTTCCACTCCACTTCAAAAAATATTCATTTAGACAATAACACTTGCAGTGAATGCATTAAACTGTTGGCAAATTCATTTCAAAAGCATTAACAAACCAAATTTAATTCATAGGTGCATAAATTAAACGACTTCCTTTTTGCTGGATCGACAATATTTTCTTTTTATTTTCGTCTTCGTTCTTTTCACAGAAAACTGTTGTTTTTACGTTCCTTTTGCCAAGTCATTATTCCACTGTAATTAGCATTTATACAAAGCAAATGATACATTTATAACGGAATCATGTTTCGTTAAAACGTGCTGAGCTAGAAAAAAAAGCGAACCATTAAGCGATGTCAAATGAAAAAATCCAAGAATTCACGAATTTATTCTCATTAATAATGTAATAATGAAAGTTGATTTGTTTGATTTTTTTTATTGAAGTTATTCTGGTTTTCCTGACACCATCATTCAAATTTCAAAGCAAAAAATATTAACAATCTTCTTTTTTTTTTCTTTTCAAATTGATAAATACAATTTAAGTTAAGAATCATTTACTTAAAAACTATTCCACATCAAAAATGCTACGAGATAATTTATTAAATAATTTCAGTTTTGTTTTTTTAAACAAATTAGTCTTCAGCTTTATGGATAATGGTGGCGGTTCTTTTCTCGTTTTCATCGAAATCAGCATCGTCCCAACCCCAGACTAGAATTAGAATTAGATATACCAATGAAATTTAATAAAATTCAAATAATCTTTTATACAGAAATAAAATGAATTAAGATGACTTACCAAGTTCTTTTGGTTCAGCTGGTTCGTCATGTTTGGCTTCTTGCAAACGCATTAAATCATCAATGGTTGCATGACTGTATTTGACATTACCATCACCACATCGTGCCATTCGCTTTTGAATTGTTTCCTTTGATACGGTTTTTAAATCATAGGCCCATCCAATGGCAGCAAAAAAATCAATGAACGCCGTTGTAATGTTGTAACGATAATTTCCCAATTCAGCCGTTTTGTAGTCCCATGGGAATACATGATGGTAATTATGCCAGCCTGACAGAAAACCATGAAACCAAAACAAAAAGTTTAAAAAAAAACATACAATGCGTGTCAAAATACGATGCAGAAACATACCTTCACCCTGAGTCATAATGCCCAACAATTTGTGATCGGTTGGTCGAATGCTTTTGTCGTATGGTTTTGTACCGACAGCATGAGCATAACTGTTGATTAAAAAGGTGTCGTGCAATGTGTACAAATGTCTTAGAACAAATCCAACGTGCCATGCAGCACTCAATGATTCACCGAAGAAATGGCACAAAATCCAAGTTGGCAATATAATCGAGATCAATGGCATAAGATACCAATAATATCTAAATGAGTGAAGAATTGATTGAATTAATTAAAATTATTTGATTTTTTTATTTTGCTTCAATTTTCTCACTTCTTCTGGAACATGACAATTGGATCGGCTACACAATCGCTCATGTCAATGGTACGTCTTTTTTCTTCAACTTCTGGTCTTTCTGTAACCATCAACTGTTTTAAATAAAAGAATAGTTTAAATGAATGCTTTTTCTATCTTTTTGAATAAAATGATCAATTACCCATCCAAAATGTGAGAAGAACAATCCACGACCAGCATTGTGTGGATCAGCATGGCTGTCTTGGTATTTGTGATGTACACGATGATCATGTACCCAAACCCAAATGCCTAATCATAAAATACATTTATTTTTTCATATTAGAAATTGTTATGAGAATTTTTCTAATAAATGAAGAAAAAATTGATTGAAATTTTCATAAAAAAAAAATGAATATTTACCGTTTTGGTGAGCAATGGTATTGAAAAAAGCCAAAATTACTTTCAATGGCCATTTTGCTTTGTAGCCTTTGTGTGACCACAAACGATGTGCTCCAGCAGTAATACCCAATAAACCCCAATGAATTAGCAAAATCGCTGTGGAAAAAAGAGAAAAATGCATATAAAATTTACGATTTAAAAATTAGAAATTTTCAAATATTTCTTAATACGAACATACCCATGAGAATAGTTGCTATTTTACATTGACCGGTGAATATTTGATACAATCCATAAAATGAGCCCAAATGTAGATAAACAAAAAAGGCGATATTTTTCCAAACTAAATCTTTCATTGTCCATGATGCATCGGATGACTGCAAAGGAAACACGTGTCCAAAGTAATATTAATGAATAAAAAAAATAAATAAAAAAAAAACAAGAAATAATCGTCGATTTAAAAAAAAATTTAAATAATTACACTTGATTTTTTTGGTTCTGTATTTGCGTTTTCATCTTTATTAGCGGCCCCATTAAGACGTGTAACGTTTGGTCTTTGTTTAGTTGTAAATTCTTCGTCAAATGACGAACTATAATCATTTCTCTCCGCTTCAACCATTTTGTAAAATTATTCTATGGAATTGCTAATTTGTGTCTAAATCACAACTGCACTAAACTCAAATTATATCACCAATGAGTATGTATAAAAAATGTATGTATCAAGATGAAATCTGTCAAACTTAATACACAAACTACACACAAAAATTCAAATACACACAAAAGAATCACCGGTGAGAATGAGACACGTGAATGTATAACAATTTTATTGTATTTATGGTTTTCGCACTTTGTTTTACTACACACAATTCAGGTAGTCGTATACTGTTTCGTTGTTTTTTCAATAGTTCCGTTGTAGTGAGATGCTGGAAGGTGTGTGCGACTTCAAAAATTCATTGCACCCAGCCAACCATATATTCGTGCACTTTCACCGGTTTTTTTTTTTATTTTACTTTTTCCCAACGAAATTTCAAAAGAGCAACACGTTCTCGTTAATAATTCAAAAAGTTCACTGAATAAGTCGCTCGGCTTACTCTCAAATTTATATTTCAATTCACTGTAAATTGATAAGGCGTTTAGGGTTGTTGCTGCTTTTTTTCTGTATTCGTTTCTTACGATTTTGTTTCTAGTTACGTACGGTGATATTTTTTTTTTCTCTTTGTGTTCGACCGCTTAGCATTAAGACATATCGGACGATTGCTTTGTACGCATGTAAATTCTTATGTGAACGTTCGACATTTGCTTGTCGCCTGATCCCTTTCTCTCTCTCTTCTGCGTCGCAAGAGAGCACAATCACGTATCTGCCTTCTGTACATTAGAAGATTTGAAGCGTAGATGTAAATTTGGTTGTTGAGCGAATGCTTTGCCCGATTTATGTAATCATCGGAGTAAATTATGACATTATAGAGGTGAAACGATATTTATTTTACTGGTTTGTGAAACGATTCGGTTTCGACTTTAAACACTTGTTTGCACACCGCATACTGCTGATGTACGTGAAATTGAGATTTTTCCGAAATCAATGCATTATTTGTAACTTGGCAAATTAGATGAGCTACTCAAATGCACGTAAACGCGTGTTCTCCTCGGTGTTGTTAAATACATGCAATGCACATGCGGGCTTGAAACATGAGCTCAGCAAATTCTAATAATTATACATATATACTATCTCTATGTCTCTCTCCCTCTCTCTATCCATAGAGTATTTTGCTCACGACAAAAAGCACAATGAATTAAACATTTTGTACGTATTGTTTTGTATGAATGTTGAACAAATTCCAGTCTCTGTTTGTGATTAATGCATTAAGTGCGACTGCACCAAAACCTCAATGAATTTGCATTGCAAATTGATTGATAAGAGTGAAAAAAAAACTAATAGGCAAATGTAAACAAATAGAATTTCATACAGATTTAGAAGAAGAAAAAAATCTAGATTTGACATTGAATGTCATCATTGAATAGGATCGTCATTAAAACCACCAACTCAAGCGATATACGTCGTAAAGAGTTCAATCAACCATATTTTTACCACTTAAATGCTGACCAAATCGCTTTTTTCAATTCGCTTAAATCTCCAATAAACACACAGCTTGCACGTGACATCATGCGTGTAGTTAATTCCTAATCCAAAGATAATTCAATTAATTGAATAGACAATCGATCGCAGAAAATTATTATTCGGTTTAGTTCGTGTGAAGTGCGCCATCAAAATGAATGTTGTGCGTCGTACGTAGATGCGATATCAATTTTATAAGCTCAACTATATCTCGATTGTTTTGAAAGATGATGAACGATGAAATAAAAGTACCGTATCTATGCTACAGTCGTACGATAATTCTATTTCTATAGTTCGATGCGAACGGATGGAATCGGTTGGTTTAGAATACCAAAGGATAAACACACACACAGGCGCGCGTTTGCGTGACAAAGTGAAACCGAATCGATTGTGAATTAAATCAGTGATTTGTTAGATGAATTAGATCGCATTTCACGATAAGACGCGTGCATTGAAGGTGTTTGACTGACCTTTAACGTTCCGCCAACGGAAACGTGAAATAGAATCATATGTTTAATGATGTATAATCATATCACAAAAAGACTGATAGGCACATATTACCAAATGGTGAATTGAGAAGCTATAAATTAAAAATGTACTTGAATTTCATATGATAGATAGAGTTTTTCTTTTTGATGAATTTACTTTGGGCTCTTTATACTGAAATGCAGCGTGGGGTTTTCGTGATATGAATTTTTGTACTTCAACTTTCATCCCGACGCGAAAAAACCATTTGCAAACTGTCATAGGTTATCAATCAATGAGCGAACTCGTGCTACAGGCATTTTTATAGATGAAGGAAAAAATGTGTCATCGTACGATCATGCATGAGCCAATAAATGTGATTCAATTCGCAAACGCGACTCTCACACATTCGGATGTTTTGTTTTCATTTTACGCGTGCGTGTGTGTATTTGTTTATGTCATTCCATCTCACGTATAGGGTCCAAGTGATAACAATGTTCTTGTTTGTAATTTTCCCTCATCAGACAGAAGCAATAATTTCTTGATTACTTTTGAAATAAAGAAAGGTGTTATCTATACTATTTTTAATCATTTGGTTTCAAAGACATTTATTTTCGACTCAAAGACATCAAGATTCAATTTGATTTGCGCTGAGAAAACCACTTACACGCGATCGATTACGATCGATTATACTTGAACCGGTATTATTTGAATTTCAAATTTTGAAATGTTGCTCCAATTTTTTGACTCGAAAATCGATACAATTTTCAATTAAACTTTACTTTTTTTGTAAAAATGTAAATTATTGATTAATTTTGTTTAATTGAAAAGAAACTCTTGAAAAAAAATCAATAAGATTTCTTTAGTTCGTATGGTATTGTATGAAATTCAAAGTATGGATTCGGATGGAATGAAATAACAATGGTATGTGAATGGAATTGATGGAAAAAGATTTTCTAGTAATACAAAAAATTCAGTTGGACAATTGAGTTGCGCATTTAATTACATTTTTCATTCATCAAGTTGTGCAAATTCAATTATTCAATAAATAGCAAATTTTGAGTATTTTTACATTCGCCAATAATTTAAGAAATTGTACGGTTCGGTGCTTTTATGATTGAAAACACACTAGAAAATCGATGGAATATTTAAAAAAAAATTAAATAATTAATAAAATGAATGAAAAAATATATAAAATTCAAATTTCATTGAATTCATTCAATCTTATCGTACCGAAATCATTCTATAAAATACTTTATTTATTGCTTTGCGAAAAAAATGTATACAGTGCCATCTGTTGATAATATGGTTAAGCTTTATCTGGGTATTATCAATTAATGTGACTTGTCATCTTTCAAAATCAGCTGGAAAAATAGACATTTAGCATTTCATACATATATATATTTTTGTTAATATATTTAGAACAAAGAGATAAAAAAAAAAATAAACAAAAAGTTTAGATGTTCGTCTGCTTCGAATAAAAGGGGCCGATTGAATAAATGTTTTAATCAAACCTGTTGATTTTGTTTCCATCATAATTAGTGAATCGCCTTAAAGTATTATTGTTAATGTTCTCTTTTTTTGTTGCTTGTAATATTAATGAAGTAATTACTGTTCTGATAAATTAAATGGAATCGGCAATAAAATGCGACTACAGCAATCCTAGCAAAAGATATGAGAGTAAACCGTCTCCGAGTAAAAAAAAGTCATCACTATCGGATGACTCAATATTAACTGAAAAATATGCGTAAGTTCATTAAATTTTGCGATTAAAAAAAACATGTACTTTAAACAACAAAAATCAAAAAAAAAAAAATTGGCTAGTTTGGAATGGAAGACATTATCTCGCCTATCGGAAGATCCGCATTTGGTACAATTACGACAATCGGCTGTAAATGGTGGTTTGAAAACGTCAAAATTTCGAAGCATTTGTTGGTCATTATTGTTGGGTGTGCTAAACGGACGATCACAATCATGGGCTACACAAAGGAGATGCGATCGAAGCAGGTTTGTTATTCATTATCAGGCTACAAAGTTCACTAAGCCAAAATGAAATGTCACTGTCTCTTCTCCCATTGTGCGCAACAGATACGTCGAATTAATCAAACAGTTTTATATAAATCCGAGAATGGCGGCCGAAGATGACCCGCTTTCTCAATCTGATAAAAGTGTATGGAATCAACATTTTTGCGATAAGGAGCTGTGCACGGTTATCAGACAAGACGTTGTCCGTACATTCCCGCATATTGAGTTTTTTCGAAAGCCAAGAATACAGGAGATTATGATAAATATTCTGTTTTGTTATGCACGTGTTAACCCTGAAATGTGCTATCGACAGGGAATGCACGAAATATTGGCACCCATCATTTTTGTCATGCACTGTGATCATCAAGCACTAATACATGTTAAAGACATTTCAATACACGGTGTTGAGTAAGTTTGATGGAATCGTAGTTTTTGACAATATTTATAGCGAAGACATGTTTTTTTTATTTTAGCAGTGAACTGAAAGATGTGCTTGATCCAAAATTCTTGGAAGAAGATTCATAGTGAGTTTTTGACAAAAAAAATTCACTTAAATGTATGCCACAACAACTAATCATTTGATTACCATTTTCAGTTTTATATTCACAAAAGTTATGACGGAAATCGAACCATTCTATCGAATACATGATCTTCATCCAACTGCAACTGGTTACTTTCCATCGAATCCACAGTGCACGGTAAAAATATGAGAATTCGAACATTTGTTTGTATTCATCAAAAATTTATGGATTTTATGGTTTTAGACTCACGGCGATGTGAACAATGTGTCTGATTTGGAAGTGGTTAGCAAGTTGAATATGATTCGTGATAAGATCCTTGCCAAAGCAGATAGTCAACTACATAATCATTTATTGCAATTGGATATTCCACTGCCATTGTTCGGCATGTATGGTTACACAAATTATTTGATTAATAGACTCTTTTCTCTATTCAATATTTTTTTTCTCTTTCCGATATGCAGACGATGGTTGCGTTTACTTTTCGGCCGTGAATTTCAACTGCTTGATCTCCTTGTACTTTGGGATGCAATTTTCGCTGAAGGCGCTCATTTTGAGTTGACCAATTTCATCGTTGTTGCCATGTTAATTAGTATACGCGAAGAAAGTAAGCTACAACCAATCGATTTGGATCGATTTGTTTCGAAATGTGAATCACTTTATCTTTGAATAATTTCAGTGTTGCACAGTGACTACACAACAGGACTATCGTACTTAATGAAATATCCGAGCAATATTGATGTTCTGCTCATCATTCGACATTCACTTCATATGTACGCGCCCGATGTATGTTGAAAATGCGATCTCTCCTCTTTTCTTCGAATTTCCCATGTTTTTTTAAACATTCAATTTTTAACTTTTTCTCTCTTTTTCCAATTTAGAAATATGAACGACCACCAAACAAATTCACTGTGTCAGCGAGACAGCAGTTTCCCAACACCAATTCGACTCACCTAAATGGCAAGACATCGTCTCTACCACGAAATATACATTCGAAAAAGACAACGCAAAATCAAGTGAAACGTGTTAACGATGATTTAATGCATCGAAATCAACGGCCAAATGATTCGAATAAACTGAGTCAGTCACCATCAAAGAGCGAACTACTAAAGGAACATGCTCATAACATACAAAATTCAACGACAAAGGCAACCATGCGCGTGCTGAATCCACCTCAATTGAGAAATATGAACGACCCCGGAATCGTTGATGGTTATGTGGAAAATGTAAGCTCAGAACCACCGCTCGCAACGAAAAAAGAAACGTTCATTAAATTAATTTCGTTTATTTTTACAGAGTTCAGAAGTATTAAAAATTCAGTTACAAAGTGCTCACACAGTTATGAAAATATCACGATTAAAATTGATTCAGTATTTGGCTGTATTTCGAAAACACATACCAGGCGATTCGACACATGAGCTACATCAAACGATGGATGGCATCGAAGAGGTAAGTGATCACAATAACTTTTTTTTTTTAAATGTCTAAATTTTCTATTTTATTGCAGTTGTGTGAATTGTTGAACGTTAAAGAAAAGCTACCATATACATTGCCTACGCCCGTCGAACCAGCATTTGAGGCAAATGAAGCGGCTGTCACACCGAATCGTAAACACATCGATAAAAAAACCGACTCAAACGAGCAAATGTATGCAAATTTGGAGTCACAATCATCGGAAACCGAAACAGAACCACCAAAATTAGTAAGAGTGCCTATTGGTTCATTGCCACCACTTCAGATTTCACCGTCAAGACAAATAAGTCCAAAATTTAATCAAGAATATAACGTTAACATGTTATATACGAATTTTGAATATATCGGTAAGGCAGACACAAATTCAAATGCGTCTGCAAAAGTACGGTACGAAATTCCAGAAAATCGATTAAGTCGTACAGCAACACTGATACTGGGCAATCGAAAAGAATTGGAAATGCATGAATTTTCATCCAAACTGGCTGATAATCAGGTTGTTGGCGAGGGTAGCAGGAGACAGATACCGGAAATCGATCCATCAGGTGATCGCCCGAGCGAATAAAGCATCGTTTTCATACACACATTTTTGGAATAATTATTATACATTTTTATTTATCACAAATAAAACGTTTTATTCCCAAAGAATATGCTGTCTATAATTTTGATCGATTTAATTTAAAATGATAGCATCTATTTACTTTAAATGTGTGTAAAATCTTTGAAAAAGTTTTCTCAACAAAGTAATCCTCATCAAAAATAAAGACATTTTTTGTTGATATTATTGGGTGTACAGTCAATGGAATTCATGAAAATGCCTTTTTAATTTTTAAAAAACTGATGTTTCGATCACATTTATTTGATATTCCTCAGGGTCAAAAATCACAACATTTTCAATTCTTGACGATCAAATAAATGTGATCGAAACATCGGTTTCTTTAAAATTAAAAAGGAATTTTCCTGAATTCCATTGACTGTACACCCAATAATATCAACATACAATAGAAAGCAGTACACTGTTGAACCAGGCGATACAAAAAATTGACCAGAATTTGAGGATTGAAGAAAAAAAATTATTTATTTTTTTTGTCATTTTTTACGATTTTTCACCAATAATGCTGGTAAATTTTTTGTATCGCCTGATTCAGTCAGAATGAAAAAAAATGACATTCTTTATCATCCCTTGGCGAATAATACACGCAAGTGTCATTTTGCTGCTATATGGCGACTTCTTATGAAACTCTCCTTGTAATACCTAAAATTTGTTGAAGTAAATGAGTAAAATACACACGGACTAGAATTTAATTTGGAATTGAACAGAATTCAGTGGAATTGAATGGAATTGATAGAATTGAATCCAGTACTGCTTTGCCCCTTGCAAGTTCTACATATATTTTCTACATTGTATTGCAAAGAATAACGAAATGAATAAAACATCATTCAAATTTAACAAGTTTAATCAACGATATTTTATTACGACGAGAAAATTCCGTAAAATAAAAATCCAAAAAGATGTTATAATAATTTAAATTTATTTTCAGCAGAAAAAAGTACACACAATTAAATAAAAATAAAGAGTCAAAAATATGTTTCAACTTTGGCAACGAAATATTCTTTAATTTAATAGCAGAAGTACCCGAGAAAAGATTTTTCACACTTTCATGATGAACCCATTTGTACGACATTTGAAAGTATTCTATTTTCTAACAAAACACTGTAAAAAATATGTCTGACGTTAATTTTGCCATAAAAATTATTTTTGAAACACTTTTCATAACTAAAGTAAAATGGTGAATCCGATCGAAAGAAACAACCACGTGCAATCGGGTGATAGCAGCGACGAAGAGGATGATTCGCAATTTTTAATGCGAATGTACAATTTCACTTACATGAGTGATAATTTACATGTTTTGATTAATGTTAATTGTTAATATCCAAACATTAAATCTACTGTACTTCCTGTATTGTTGTTCGATGTGTTCGTTTCCGTTATTCGAAGAATATGCACGGAATATCAACACCAACGGTCAATTTTTCATTCGAGTTGGATATGAATCCTGGATGTCGTATTCATATACGAATACAGATTGCCGTGACTGCGATGTATTAAATGGACAAATTCACCAAAATCAGCAAATAATAATAATGGATACGACCTTGATGGATCTCCTCGAAATTGGAGCTGCTTATCGTATCAACCGTTATATGACACAACTTCTACTCGGCCAAATTTCGGAAAATGATTTCGATGAAATTTTTTTTGACGGATTGGAAACCGAACAAATCGGATCGGAAGACGAAGACGAAAACGAAAACGAAGAAGAAGAAGAAGCGCAACCATGAAATACTAAAATAATTTAATTTTGAATTTTTTTTTTCTAAATTTATATTAAACTTACATTAAAATAAAAACTTAAATAATTTTACCAAAAATGTAAGTGTTGTGTTTTTTATTTTATTACTTTTTCTTTCTAAAATCAAATTTTTTTATTTTTCAATCAATAATATAGGTGTTTCTTGATTGATACATTTTTATTTATATATTTATCTTAATAATTGAATGAGTTGTTTGAAGAACTTTCCTTGGGGTAGACTTTATATCTCGGAAGTATAAAGTCGATGTGGCGCGATTTTTAAAAAATTGCTCGTATGCAAATGCCGATGTAATTTCTGCGAAACGTTTTGCACGACCAGTCATCAAATGTCGCGTGACAACCAATTTATCACGGTCACTGTAACGGAACATTGCAAACACATTTTCCAAATTCTCGATCCATTTTGTTACATCGTGCAATTCGGTGCCATCAAATTTATTGAGCACGTGTAGATCAATTTTTCGATTTGTACCAATTCCCGTTGTAATTCCATCAATTCACGCTTTTTCCGTGCAATGGCCAATTGTCGATCGATTTCGGCTTCTTCTGCGTTCCAATCTAAATTCAACCGATTGTGAACACTTACATTTGCATCTGGTTGCGTCTGTTGCATCTGTTGTTGTTGTTGTAAAGCTTCACGTTGTTGTCGCCGTTCATCTGTTTCATCTGGGTTATTTTGCATCTGTTGTACACCATCCGGTCCCAATTCATTCAACTGGACACGTTGCTGCACGTTATTTCCACGATTTTGCCCGATTTCCGCAATTAAATCATCATACAATGGTCGTAATTGCACCATTGTTGCTTCTGGATCAAACGCAATGTTGGCCTCTGTTAATGCACGCACTACATCTGCACGTCGTAATGAATTTGCCATCGTAACAAAATCCAAAAAAATATTCACTTTGCGCAATTAATGGGATAAAAATAATACGTTTTTATTAAAGTTCGGCACGTTTTCTAACGAATCCCGCTTCTGAATTTGTAATAAGTTATAAACTGACACGGATGATTTTGAATTAAATTTATTCCGATTTGATTTTACTCTTACAACGATGTGTTCGGCTCGAGTGTTCACAACAGAATAGGAAGAGACATATGTTCCAATATGACAGCTGAGCTACAAGTGTCACTTTCACACAACCGAGCTACATTTACCATTTCGCCACATTCATGCATCGGGCAACATTTGACAATTCCATTTCATGCTCACACTCATACATACACAATTTCCATGCACACACTCATACATACTCACGCATACTTCAATAACATTACAATAAATAATTTTTTTTCTTCAATTCTCAAATTCTGGTCAATTTTTTGTATCGCCTGGTTCAATCAGAATCAAAAAATTCACATTACCTAAAATTTGCTGAAGTAAATGAGTTAAAACACACGGACTAGAATTTAATTTGGAATTGAACAGAATTCAGTGGAATTGAATGGAATTGATAGAATTGAATCTAGTTCGCCCCTTGACTCTACCTGAAGTCTCCTTAAGTATAGCACAATCCAAAAAAAGTGTAGCTCGAAGTTGAAAAAAATATTCATGGGTCAATATTTCTGTATATTCAACTTGCCGCTAGGCCTCACTAACACGGAAACTATTTTTAGCCTCCACGTTTTTATAGTCCAAATCAAGTCTACCTAAAGTCTACCTTTAGAATAATATATTTTTACCTTGCTCTTTTCTAAATTTATCCATTTTTTATATGTAGCTTTAAATTAATAGTTCACCTTAAAGTGATACGTAGGTTGCTCCTTAAGTTCGAATGATATGGTACTTCTGGTGTTGCCAGATACAAACCATTCTCATATTCGTAAAGTTGGGCATTTTTCATGAACAATAGCTATTCAAATACGAACAATATATTATATCCAACTGATTTTGGTCTCTGGTGGACAGAGAGGTCCCGAATTAGACGTACACGGAGAATGGTGCATCAATTCGATATTTTTAGTGGTCAAATAGTCGACTGTTTGATGGGCTGATTTTTGCCCTGATTCGGGATCATAAGTTTCAGAGGTTTGGTTTTCATATTTCCATGATGACTTCTGGCAGGTAAATGGTTGTATACTGTTCAGCATTGAAGGACCTTTGATCCTCTAAAAACATGGTAACAACATGACCCCTAACACTGTAAAATAATGCGGTCCAATTTTTCATGATCACTTCACAAGCGAACAACTTGTGTTGGATTGAGTTCATGTTTGAAGACT